TCCCTGGTCTTCTTGTCGTGTATGGCACCAAGGTCTTGGATAACCGCCCTCCAGTGAGTAGGGAAGGGCCACCCCGCAGGGTTCCAGACTACGAAGTAGTCCTGCTTCCAGGCCGGGATCTTGCTAGGAAGCTTGTGCATTAACTTAAAGCCCAGGCGAGGGGACAAGTAGTAAGCCCTCCGGTGCTCGGGGAGAACATACTCGTAACAGAGAGAGATGGTCCCGACCACGTTACGGATTGAGTTCGGGTGAAGCTGGTCTATTGTAACATTGAAGTGTTTCAGGACCTCCACTATGAGTGGATGGAAGGGAAGGCGCAGCCCGGCTATGAGCTGCTCTCGGAAGATCACGACCTCATCAGGGCCGTGCTCCCATGGGAAGTTCCCCGCAGGTAAACTGTAGGTGTACTCCCTAGGCAAGTTATACTGCCGAATGAGTTGACAGAGCCTCTCCAGGGTCATAGTAGAAGGCCCGAACCTGTCCGACTCCCGACCTCGGTGAGAGGTGGACGCCAAGTTACCCGAGGCCACCCGCGCCTCGGGGGACTAGACTCCGGTAGGGTTACCCTAAGCCGAGGTACCCACCACGGGCACCTCGGGCTCATCTAACTGGCTATCAAAGGAGGACATAATGAAACCGAAGAAGAGCTAGGGTGACTCACCGAAAAGAGATGGACCGGACTGAGAAGAACTGACCCGAGCTGGAGGCTTTGGACGCGAGCTCAAAACTACAGCTGGAGGTTTGTGGCGAAGGAAAATGGCCAGGACCCCCACTATTTATAGCCACTATACGCGAACATCGACGGTTGAGATTGAAGCAATCTGACGGCCCTCATGAAAACTGGCTGCGCGACCTTCGAGGCGAAATCAGCTTAGCGCATTTTTTGACGTCCGTGGAGTCTATAAGTCGCGTGATGTCCGCGCGTAGACCATACACAACCCGAGCTGCGCCTGGAAAAACCGAGCCGAGGATCGATCCAACCTATGAGTTGGCGGACAAGAAGGCTTAGACCCCGAGCTAAATCCACCCGGCAGACCGCAGACTCCCCGCGCTGGATAAGGACCCTTAGCACGGGGAGTGGGGGGCAATTGATGTAGGGAGATTTGGCCCGACCTCGTAGCACGGGGACACGTGGACATGACCTGGCATAAGCGACAACTCAGCGTGACAGCCTGGCCACAACCCAACGTAACAAGCTCGCCGAAGCCTGACCAAACGACTCGGCGGGTGTGACAACCCACCGAGAAGCAAGGCTCAGTTCACCTCAAGCCTGAAGGCAGAGCTCCCCGAGCTCCCTCGTGCGAGGGGACCCAAGCTCCCCTTGAGACCCGAGCTCTCCCTTCCTAGGAAGGGAGCACCCCGGCTTTTGGCTAAGTGTCCCGAGGGAGAAACACCTCGGGACAGCACCGTCGAGACTCCTGTTCGAACTTGTTTAAGGCTCACCTCTAGTACGGGCACGTCGGTGTACCTCGACACCTCAGTGCAAGGCAAATCTGCCCTAGATGGTTCAGTGTACAATAGCTCGGCAGACTGTAGGGAGATCTGCCTGACATCCGTACCTATCGGATTCGGTGGCAGTGCTCGGATCCCTTGCCAGGCGGTGTTCTGCTTGCCGTCTCTGAAAAGCATGGCACGCCTGTCGAGTCCGTACCTTGCAGTAGCAGCCTGTAGCAGCAGCCTACACCTGCCACCCCTGCCCTAGCAGTAATGGCTAGGGTAGTGGCGGTTACGCCTGATGTGACCGAGCTCCGGTATAAAAGGATCTCAACCCTCACAAAGCAAAGGTATTGAAGATAGCACTCACTCTTAACTCTCTGTGTCTTCTTTGAGTTTCCTCAAGAGTTCTAACTTAGTTATCGGAGTGTTCCCGCCGGGAGAGCTCCTCAGGAACCCTTCACCTTCCTCTTCCTCTCAAGTGTCGTCCGTCTCAGCTAAGAGCCAAGTCTCAGCCAGCTAGGAGTGCCCAGATTGTGCTGCATCAATGTGTTTTGACATCAAATCAGCTCCCACAAGATTCCCCCCCTTCCCTTCAACTTCCCACAACATATCCCCGTTGTGTATTGGAAACATTTCCGATGATAATACTAGAAATAGAGAAGTACTGACATACCCAATGCAGATATCTGATTCCCACTACACACCAATAAACATTTGAACTCATGTGTGTTTTGGTGTCATTGTTGATATGACATCTGATTTCAAATGAGACATGAGTTATGATTTTGTTTAGTATTGATTATAAGTAGTGTTTTTTGTATTTATAGAAATTACCTCCCCTATCCATAACTATGCCATGGCACGCCAGCGAAGAATGATTGGAATCAACTTGAATAGAGAAAGCATCATTTTACTTTTTTGTAAATAATGATATATAGCCTATTTGCATCAAATAACCAAACAACAAGATAATTACGTTTTTGGGGTCATTGATGTCATTCTGATTGGCACCATTTTCTGAGAAATCAGCATTGATCCCAGACACCACTACACCACCAATGTTTCTCTATGGGGAGACTAGAGGTTTTCAAATTGAAGCAGTCATTTGGTTATGTTATTGAAATACATTGAACCGAAACCAAACCAAATTAATGGTTTGGTTTATAGCATAACGGTTGGGTTGCTCCATTCTGACCTATATGTGACTAGGGTTCAAATTTTGGGGGTAAGGCTCAAAACAAATTGATTCTCTATTTTTTTTAAGAAAATACCAAATTGATCGATTCAATTAATTATATCTTTTGTTTTCTTGGTTTCTGGTGAACACCTGTAGGAAAGACATATCAACAAATAAACATATAAACTAAAGAGTGCTGCCAAGGGGTTTCATATATAAATATATATAACAGATGAAGTGGCCGAATTGAATTACATATCACTAGTCAGGACGCATGCAAATGCACGTTCTCTATTTTTGGATGCAGGATCCAACCCAGCTACACCTGCGTCCAATTTAATTATTAAACCTTTAGACTCAAATTCAATTCAAAATCCAATATGTTGAACATAGATCAAATTTGGATTTAATTATCCACATCCAAGTTTTAATTGGATCGGATGGGGTTAAATCCACATCTGATCCAATTATTAATTGTATGCAAGTTCAAATAAGGCATCAAACTTCAAGAGTCCATTGACAACACTAGTTGGGCTCATAGTGAGATTGGCCAAAATTTATTAATTTTAAATAGTTATTAGATTAATAAAAATATTTATTAAATTAATAATTTTATTGATTTTTACTAATAAAAAATTAAATCGGTTCTAAAATTTACAAATGTAATTATTTTAAATCATTATCATTATCGAAGCATTATCCAACATAATTAGTCTAAATGGAATTTAAATTATTGTAAGTTAATTTTAAAATTAATAAAAGTTTATTGTTTATAATAAACATTAAGAAATACACGATATTGGAAAGGCTTTAACCAATCACAAACACTGTGGATTTGGATGAAAACCCACCTGATTGATTACCACTTTTTATGATGTTAGTTGATTAATTGGTAATAGGTCTTCCCTGTATCATTTCTTTCATGCATCATAGTCTGAACCCAAACGTTAATTTTATTATTTTTATTATTTGTAAATATTTTAATCAGAATCTAAATTATTATAATTATTAAAAAACTAATATATTTAATTGTTTTAACTAATAGATTTCTATTAGTTTATAATTTTTAAATGAATTTAAATAGATTCCCACTAAGGTGCACAATTCGATAATTATACATAGAGAATGACCCCATTCTTGGTATGGGGCCGATATTCTTATATTTTTTATTTATGTATTCTAATAAATTTTGTTTGACACCCAATTTCTATATTGTAAATTTAGGTTATTGTTTTATTTGCTTTTTATGTATAGGTTTGTTATTTAATTGAAGAGATTAAATAAAGTTTTGTTTCTAAATAATACTCCACTTTAGTATGGGGTCAATATTCTTATATTTTTTATTTATGTATTCTAATAAATTTTGTTTGACACCCAATTTTTATATTATAATTTTAAGTTGTTATTTTATTTGATTTTTATGTATAGATTTGTTATTTAATTTAAGAGATTAAATAAAGTTACGTCTTTAAATAATACCCCACTTTATGGATACCACATCATTTAAAATGAGTACCAACAGAGGGTTGGCTCGTTGGTGTGTTATTAATGGTGCATGGCACCGAATATCAACAATTTGGGGAAAAAGGGGTCAAAGGGAAAGTTATTAATGGTGCATGGCACTGAATACCAAAAAATAAAAAGAAATTAATTATTGTTTTTCCTTTTATTTTTAATAGAGTTAAATGTCACTAGCTTTCTTAGAGTGGAGGTAATTACCATTTGCTTGGATAGACACATGTATGATAAAAGAAAGCTTTTTTGTTTGAGAGTGAATAATCACTTTTGAAATGCTCTTTCTTGAAAAAATGCATACAAAGAAAGCTTTTATATGTATGGAACATTGTGCCCAACCCAATGTACATGATTTTGTCTGGATGCATCTAGTGAGGAACAAAATTGCAGATGCATGTAAAAGTTTTGAGGTTGGACCGGGATTGCCATTTGCCACCAATCATTAGGAGAGTAGAGAAAGGATCTGCTAGAAGCAAGAGGTGTAACACAGGCTAGTATTACATCTATTAAGCAATAAACGGGTTCGACTATGATATGGAAAATATATGATATCTAAAAATTTTCTGACCAGGCAACTGGAATCATAATTGTGGTAGTCAATCAGGTTTTATTTATCAAAATTCATGGGTGGGTTTTGATTGGTCAAAACTCTTCCCATATCATATCTTTTCCGATCATAGATTAAGCAATAAACACGTCAGCTTTTAGGAACAAGATGTATAGCAATAGGAATTGATGACGTGTTGTCTCCAATCGGGTATTCTGCACCAAGCGAGAACAATGGCAAAATGTGTTGGATCTGATGTGGACTCCAAGATTTTAGATATTTGTAAGACCCGCCTGTCCACATCTATCCCAGATCCGGACCGTTTAAGCCCTACCGGATTAGAGTTGGCTGAGGACCAAGAAGGCAAGGGCCAAGAAGTAGGGACGTCTTCCCTTCCAAGTTCCAAGCTTCCAGCGGACGAGTGGTATATAGGGTTCTTGTTTGAAATCCCCGCCGAGCCATGCATCCTCTCTGATACGCTTCTCTGCAATGGCGCTGGAAGAGGAAAAAGCGGACACTCCATTACTTCCCAAGGCGGTTCCGACTCCTAAGAACAATGACCCTCCCATCGTCTCTCAGGCAAGTTCATCTCATCCTTCGCACCAGGACACATCTCCCCCTAAAAAGATTCAAAGTGCCAGAGAGTTAATCCTCTCTACTGCTCGTAAGCTATCTGCTCAACATCTCCAGAATTCTGATCCTGGTGTTTGGGGCGTTCTCACTGCCATATCCAAAAATGCTCGTAAGAGACCGCAGGTATCAATCTTCATCTCTAAAACCCTAATCCCCTGTGTACCATGGGTACATAGATTAGATTTTCAGTACTGACCCATTAAGCCCAATGTTCAACAACCTCCAGTTGGTTTATTCTGGACATGAATTATTTTGGAATAATAACACTTTGTATTCGTACACGAAACAGAAAAAAAGGAAGCATATTTGGAAATTTTGGTAATGCGTGTCAATGGAAATCATTTGATACCTTAATGTTTGTCTGAGTAAGTGTCATCGTCGTGCTATCTTCATTGGGAAACGGTATTGTAGATGTATTTAGCACTGCTGAACTTGATAGCATTGAATCAGCTAGTTTGATTTTTGGGATTGTGAATGCACTCTCTCTATCTCTCTCGAAATTTGGTAATATGAGAACTTCTCTTTCCAGTTTCCAGTTAGTTGATAGTTGATGCTACATAACGCTCCTTGTCAATGCAAGCTGATAAAATTTGTTAAGCAGGGCATAAATATTCTTTTGACTGCTGAGAAGCACTACATTGGCCGGTTAGTAGAGGACAAGCGCTTCCAGATTGAATCACATGCTATAAGCGCAAATCATTGCAAAATTTATAGAAAGAGACTTGCTACTGAAGATGCGGAGCAGCCATCATGCTTCAACTGTGCTGTCTTTTTGAAAGATTCCAGGTTGTGTATTGCATAAGCAAGTTTATTTATTTGTCTTTATGTGATTTTCTGACTGTGCGGAACCATTTGCAGCACCAACGGAACATATCTTAACTGGGAAAAGCTGAAGAAAAATAGTCCTGAAGCTAAGCTTCAGCATGGAGATATTATCTCTTTTGCTGCACCTCCTCAGCATGGTAATGGGCATGCTTAAACTTTATGGTTAATTTCTATAGTCGTATTTGCTTATTTTAGAAACCAATGTGAGTTAATGTGGAAAATACTCTTTAATGTTTAATTGTAGTACTCTACCATTCTTGATAATGTTAACTAAGGGTGCACGTTGGACTGGGTTATGTCAGGTTGAGGTCAACCCTAACCCAATCCGAGGTGTTGAATCTTCAATGCTAACCCAATTCCAACTTGACCTTCAACCATATGTTGTAAACCCTAACTCAACCTGACCCAGCCATAAGTCATCTTCATCTCTATCCTTGATGTCAGATAGAGGCATAGAGCACTTTGTATTCAACCAAGGTTTATTCTCAACCTTCAATTTTTCTTTAAAAAATCTCATTAATAAAAACATCAGCAAACTTCTATCACTTTCAAATGTTTGCAGGTAGATGAGAAAGAAAACTATAGCCAACTTAATTATGAAATGGATAACTTGGCTGACTCCATGAAAAAAAGGATGAAAGTGATCCAGGCAATCAATGTGCTTATGTGCCATAAAAATTGCATTTTTTTTTTCAAAAAAAATCTGTAATATAAAAAAGAAAAACTAAAAATAAAAAAAAAGAACAAGTCTATCAAGATCTCCTACTCCCTCCCCACCAACTGAAGTTTGCCTGACAATAAAAAAGACATTCTAAGGCTTTCATTCTAATTAATTTTGTATTCCAATTCCCATTTTCTAATAGTAAAGACTAGAGGAAAAACATGGGCAACTGGTTGATTGAACAAATTTCAGTGGAGGAAAAAATCAAAATGGTATCAAAGAAGAAGAATAAAACTTACCTGAATGGTGAATTATTTGTTTAAAATAATGCACTTTGGCTCTAAGTGGAGAAGTTGGATGAAAGTTTGATTTTCGACCCCAAGGTTCTCAATGCTTGTAAATGGGACGGCTAGAGAAAATTTTAGCAGTTCTAGAGGTTTGAGGCAAGGGGACCTTTTGTCTCCTTTTCTCTTTCTAATAGTCTTGGAAGGTTTAAGCAAGTTGGTAGATAGAGGTGTGGAGAGGGAACTGGTGGAAGGCTTCCAGGTGAAGCCCAATGGGACTGCTATTCCAATTCTGCAATATGCTGATGAGACATTCTTCTTCTGTAAGGCTTCAGAGGAGCAAGTTCTGAATCTGAAGTACATCCTTTTCTGGTTTGAGATTATATCAGGACTGAAAGTAAATCTAGCAAAAAGTGAGATGATAGAAGTGGGAGAAGTCTCTAACATCCAGGGTCTGGTAGATTTGTTGGGTTGCAAGGTTGGTCAGCTCCCAGAAAATTATTTGGGGTTGCCATTGGGAGCCAAATGCAATTCTAAAACCATTTGGAACCCAATAATAAAAAGAATTGATCAGAAATTGGCCACTTGGAAAGCAAGGTATCTCTCCAAAGATGGAAAGGTAACACTCATCAAGAGTGCCCTAGCAAGTTTGCTAACGTACTTCATGACCCTTTTTCCTATCCCCTCAGAAGTGGTAGAGGTTTTAGAAAAAAAGATGAGAGATTTTTTGTGGGTGGGCTGGAAGGATTCACACAAATATCATCTTGTAGACTGGGGTCAGATTTGTAAACTCCTATCTCAAGGGGGGTTGGGGTTAAGGAGCTTAAAATATTTCAACCTAGCTTTGCTAGGAAGTTGGATGTGGAGGTTTGCTGCTGAACCTGACAACCTCTGGAGGAAAGCAACAGCAGAAAAATATAGGTTGGATGAAAGTGGTTGTGGTAGTGGTCCACCCATGCCAATGACCTATGAATGCAGTCTGTGGAAAGGAATATGCAGAGCTTCAAACCTTTTCAGTAGGGGAGTTGGTTTCAAAGTAGGGAATGGGAGAAGGATCAGGTTCTGGTTGGATCCCTGGACTGGGGAGAATTCCCTGAAGGAACTGTTTCCCACCCTGTTCAGTTTGGCAGAAGATAAAGAAGCCTTGGTGGAAGATACATTTCTGATAAGGGATAATGCTATTTGCTGGTCTCCAGCCTTAGAATGGGCTTCAATGACTGGGAGATTCAGCAGGTGGGAAATCTCCTAGTTTTGCTTCAATCTCATGTTTTGAATCTGCAATCTGAGGATTCTCTAGTGTGGAAGTGGAACAGAAGTGGGGAGTTTTCAGTTAAATCCTTCTACAGCACCATAAGGGGAGGTTTTGAAGCCTCTTTCCAAGACGGGCAATTTGGGGGACAGTGGTACCCTCAAAAGTAAAGTTTTTTGTATGGGTGGCAGCTTTAGAGAAGTGTCTCGCCAAAGAGATGTTGGTGAGAAAAGGTTTTAACTGCAGTGACCTGAGGTGCAGCTTCTGTGGTGTGGATACAAAATCGGTCAACCATCTGTTTTTACATTGCAACTTTGCCTCAAAGATCTGGAGCTACTTCTTAAATAGTCTGAGGTTAAGCTGGTGTATGCCAGACTCAGTTAAAGCCTGCCTGGAGGCTTGGCAGATCTGGGGGATGACTAAGAAAGGAAAGATTTGCTGGTCTTCTATTCCCTTAGCAATTATGTGGGTGGTTTAGACAGAAAGGAACAGCAGGGTTTTTGATCTTAAAACCTCTACTGAAGCTGAAGTCATCAATACCATCAATTCGGCTTTAGGTTGTTTTAGAAGTTGGTTGTCTATACTTACTGACTTTAAAGAGGTTACTTCTGATTGTAATTTTTTGAGGATGACCTTTTTTGGAGGTCCTTCTGATTTGGTGTGTACAGCTTCTCTTTGTACAAAGGACCTTTTACATCAATACAATTATACTTCACCTTTGCTCAAAAAAAAAAAAAAACCAATGCCAACCAAAAACAGCCTTGACTGTGTGATGGGTGTCCACAACAAAGATGGAAACTGTGAATGACAAGTCAACAACAAAGGGATGTAAGAGCTGAGAACAAATTTTAGAAATCAGAATCCGTAAACTTATTTAAATAACAGCCTCCAAATGGTGAATGGTGAGTCAATGTCAAATGTGAATCTTGTTGACTGATGGAGTGATAACCAATGCGGTGGCTTTGTGGACCACCAATAACCAGAACTACAAACATCATTCTTGCAGTCAGAGATAATCAAGGTCATAAGAATGACCAAGCAGAGAGAATTGTAGTCCACGGGAGTGATTAGATTTAGTTTCCCATAAGATGGAAAATGAATTGCTTGTAGGTGAGTTTGAATATCTTCATGTTTGATATATATATATATATATATATATATATATATATATATGAATGTATTTTAAATTCAAAAAAAAAAAATCACAAAGTTTTGAGGGGATTGGGAAGCAAAGGGAGGAGGAGAGAGAATAAGCTGAATAGCTGATGTGGACCAAGACTACTTGATCATCATGGTTGTCGTCGTCATCATCATCATATAAGCCTTATCACAACTATATGGGATTGGCTACATGAATCCTGTTTCACCATTCCATTCTATTTAATGCCATAACTGTTGTTAAATTTTGAGCACTTAAATCATTTTTCACTACTTTGATCCATGTCCTTTTTGGTCTGCCTCTAGCACTTCTAGATCTAGCCCCTTCAACAGTTCAACTTGCAAGAAATCACTTCTTACAATATAATTTTCTTATTAATCAATTAATGAATTTCTGTTATTGTTAAAAAAACCACTTCTTACAAGTGTTGTCAATGGTCTTCTATGCATGTGCGCAAACCATCTTAGTCTACTTTCTCTGATTTTATCACCTATTGGAGCTTTGGAGTTACTCCTAAATTTCTTCAAATGAATTTATGTTTTATATTATCCTTTCTAGTTTTTCACTCATCCATCTCACCACATACATTTTTTCAGCACTCATTTTTTGGACATGTTGTTTCTTGACTGCCCAGCACTCTGTTTCATACAGCATAGGTGGCCTTACAACTATTTTATAGAATTTTCCGTTTAATCGAAGTGGTGTTCACATATCACATAAGACTATGGATGCATCCTTCCATTTTTCCCATCCTACTCTAATTCTATGGGCGACATCCTCCTCAATCTCTCTCTCTCTCTCTTGTTATGAATTATCAAATCAAGGTACCAAAAAGGTCACATTGTGTTATTTATTGATCTCCGATCCTAAGTGTACCCTGATTTGCACTCTTGTTGTATATAGAATAGATGGGATAGGGTTACAATGCATTTGGCCTTTTCTTATTAGAGCTGGATTTAGGTTTGGTTGGGTTGCCTGAGGAGTCAACCCTAACCAAATTTCCAAACCTGAAATTAAATCAGGTTAGCAAATCTCAATCGTGACCTTGATCTGATCTTTAACATTACCTGTCTTTTCAGGTTGGATTCAGGCTGACTTGGCCCAAATTGCACAGCTAAATGGTAACAAACATGAGTATTACTAAGCAAGTCAGCATATCTAGCAACCCTAACCCAACCTGAAATCAAATCAAGTTAGCAAATCTCAATCATGAGCCTAACCTCATCTTCAACCTGACCCAACCTTTTCGGGTTGGGTTCAGGCTGGCTTGGCCCAAGTTGCACCGCTAATGGTATCAAACATGAGTATTGCTCAGCCTATCTAGCTTGACTACTTAAAATCTCAAAGACATTAACTTAGGTTTTGGAAAAAACAGTTTGAAATGCTAAGACTTCAATTATGTCGTAGTTATGCCATGTTATAGTGTTTAACTACAAGTCTATAACATGGGTTAGTTATGCGATATTCCAAAATCAGAAGGGTTAGTTATGCCATGTTATAGTGTATAATTCAAGTACCAAAGACTTCAATTCTGTCGTAGTTGCACATGAAGCTGTCATTTGAACCCCTTTCATCTACTTTTTGTACACTATGTAGGTATTTTATATCAGAGAAGAGTTGTCTTCATCAAATTGGCATAGATATTGTATTATTATTATTATTATTTTTACATTGGTTGGGTTTTTCCATTTTGGCCTTTTTTGTTTCCTTTTCTATCAAATGCTTGCATTTGTGGCTGAAATATGCATACTTTTGGGGTAAAAGTGTAAATAATCTATCATATT